AAGGGAAAGGGAAAGGTCTGCACGCACAGTAGAAGTCTTAGATCGCTGCAGCTCGGGTGTATTCAGCATCCCTCTGAGCGGGCCGTCCCCATAGCCCGAGCGTGCCTGGCTCTGTTGTGTGCCAGCAGAGCGGGGAAGGGGGATCTGCTCTTCTGAAATGTCATTAGCTAAAACGTACCAGTGGTTCAGGGAGCTTCTGCATTTAAATCAAACAACAAACAAGGGAAACCCAACAAAGTGGAAGCTCAGGATAATCATTTGGAGTTCCCTAAGAAAGGATTTCAGAACATAGACTACTTAGGCTACAGTCTGGTGCCAYGGGTCAACTCTTACCTGAGCCCTGGAGAACTGCTGGTTAGAAACTGTTGGTTCTGTGGTACTTTTTAATACCATGCATAGAGGGGAGCAGCATGGATGTGTGGGAGATGCATGTTTGCTGGTAAATCACCGTGTGTTTGAGATATGTGATAGCTGCCTTGAGATAGGCAGCTTAACCCCTGGCTTGACGGGCCTTGGGAGGCGCTGCCCTTCTGCACGAGCAGGGGTGGTCCGTGGGTCCCCAGTCTGTCCCTCCCTGGCTGGAGGGACTAGAAAAGCACAAGAGCTAAAAAGGCAGTGGTGGTGGTGGKGGGGGGTGAGTATAGCTCTTGCTGTTCGGTTATTTCTGTTGCTGACACATTATCAAGCTTCTCTGCCCAAGTGGAAGGGCCAGGCACACAGGAGCAGGTTCCCACATCAGTGCTGCTGATTTCTGTGGCATTGGTTTCACCAAAGAGGTAACGTTTCACGTGCGATTGACTCATTAAAGAAGCTGGAGCTGATTAACCACAAGACTCTCCCTGTGACTCTCCTTTTGTCAGCTTATGGGTTAGGAAGCAGGTTCACAGCTCACGTCTGTCTCTGTACTGCCCAGTCCATCAAACCAGACAACATGCAATTTGCCAGTTTTCAAGGAGATAAAGCCAAGAGTATTGAAAACCCCAAACAACAGGCTTGGGTTATAACAGCGAGTCTCTTCTTTAATATCGCAGTCTCCGGTCAGGAGAAACAACAAAAAAAGAAGCTGAAATGAGGTCAGAGTCCAGCCTARAACGTTTATAGTGGCATATAGTGCTGAGAGCTGTGCTTTGGACCGGGCAGTCATCCCTTGTGGCAGGATAATAAATCCTGTCTCCTACCAGCCTTTCTAGGAAAGAGAGCAGCCCACGCAGAGGTGCGAGTTCCCTTGGTGCCTCTCGTGTCCCTTCAGCGGCTCTCGCGTTCCCTTAGTGCCTCTGTGGTCCCTCAGCGCCTCTCATGTCCCCTCAGCGCCTCTGTGTCCCCTCAGTGCCTCTGTGTCCCCTCAGTGCCTCTGTGGTCCCTCAGTGCCTCCGTGTTCCCTCAGTGCCTCGGTGTTCCCTCAGCGCCTTGATGTTCTCTCAGCGCCTCTCATGTCCCCTCAGTGCCTCTGTGGTCCCTCAGTGCCTCTGTGTCCCCTCAGTGCCTCTGTGGTCCCTCAGTGCCTCGGTGTTCCCTCAGCGCCTCGATGTTCTCTCAGCGCCTCTCGTGTTCCCTCAGCACCTCTCATGTCCCCTCAGTGCCTCTATGTCCCCTCAGTGCCTCTCGTGTCCCCTCAGTGCCTCTGGGTTCCCTCAGCACCTCTCGTGTTCCCTCAGTGCCTCTGTGGTCCCTCAGCGCCTCGATGTTCTCTCAGCGCCTCTCRTGTTCCCTYAGCAGCCCCGGGCGGGGACTGGGACCGTTACCTCACRCCCCTCTGTCCGCCTCCTGGTTTGCTTGGCGCCGTGGACGCGGGTCTGCCCAGTGCGCCTTCCTGCCCGGGTTTAACGGGACGYCTCTCTCCTTTCAGTTTGAAATAGAGATTCAGAAGATTTCGGAAGCTTACGAGGGCCTGGTGAAGACCACCACTAAGAGGGAGTCTTTGGACAAAGCCATGAGAAACAAACTCGAAGGAGAAATTCGGAGGCTCCACGATTTCAACAGGGATCTCCGTGGTACGTCAGGCTCGCTTGCTTTTCTTTTTTGCCCCAGCTGACACGGCGTTTCACTTTTCACAGAGTAGCAGACTTCAGATGAAGAGTTTCACACATGTTTTAGATAAACTTGAGCAATCAGGCTCTGCCCACTGACATAAGACAAGGCTGCTGTCACCCCCCACTTGCAAACAAATCCTCTGGCAAAACATGAGATGGCCTCGAATGCTGCCTTTGAGTTTAACACTTCCCGTTCTGGGCTGACTGCAAGAGCAGCAGCCTGCAAGTTGAGCTGTAACAAGCTGGCAGCAAGAGATAATACATGGCAACCACGTATAAATCTCAGTCTTGGGTACTTTACTGCCAGTACATGTCAAATTATCAAAGGTTTCTCTTTTTASTATTAAAAAAGAGGTAAAATTGATAGATCCATCACAGAAGCACAGAATGGCTGAGCTTGGAAGGGAGMTCTGGAGATCTTCTAGTCCAACATCCCTACTCTAGCAGGATCGCCTAGAGCATGTTGCCCAGCATCAGGTCCAGGAGTGTTTGGAACACCTCCAGAGAAGGGGCTCCACAACCTCTCTGGGCATCCTGTTCCAGTGCTCTGTCTCCCTCTGTCACCCTCACAATCAATTTTTTTCCTCAAATTCAGACAGATCTTCCAGTACTTCAGTTTGTGGCCGTTGCTTTTGTCCTGTTGCTGGGCACCACTGAAAACACTCTGGTCCCATCCTCTCTTCACCCTTCCTTAAGATATTTGTACACGCTGATAAGATTCCCCTCTCAGTCCTCTCTTCCCCAGGCTGAACAGACCCAGCTCTCTCAGCCTCTCCTCACAGGGGAGATGCTCCAGGCCCCTGGTCATTTTTGTATCCTTTGCTGGACCCTCTCCAGTAGCTCCACATCCCTCTTGTCCTGGGGAGCCCGGAACTGCCCCCAGTACTCCAGGTATGGCCTCACCAGGACTGGGCAGACGGGCAGGATCCCTTCCCTCCACAGGCTGGCAACATGCTCCTGATRCAGCTAGGAGCCCATTGGCCTTCTTGGGCTTCTTGCCTCATGTTCAGTCTGTAGCTCACCAGGAACCTCAAGTGCTGCTTTCCAGCAGGTCAGCCCCAATCTGTCCTTGGGCCTGGGGTTATCCCTAGCTCCTCTCCAGGTGCAGGACCCCGCACTTGCCTTTGTTGAACTTCATGCAGTTCCCCCTGCCCAGCAGCCCAGCCCCCTGGGGGGTATCAGCTGGGGGGTATCAGCTGCCTCCTGCCAGCTTCAGATCACCAGCAAACTCGCCAAGGGGGCACTCTGTCCCATCAAGCAGGTCACCAATGAGTAAGCTAAACAAAACTGGGCCCAGTACTAACCCCCGGGGCCATCACCCTGATGATGGGCGTACTTTGGTACCTCCTTGTCCTGTGAGGTGTGCTCTGGAAAATGGGTCACACTTTTCTCACTGGTTTGAGGATTCTGGCAGGTATTTTTGGAGGAGCAGGAGCACCTGAGAGCAGGAGGCAGCGGGAGGGGAGACACGTCGCACTGGTGGTGGCCCTTTCCAGGGGAAGCTCTGCTCCCCACATGGGAGGTGGCTGTGGAAAACCACCCTGCTCCTGATGGGAGGGCAGAGAGACCCGGTGCAGCTCCTGAACACAGCATGGATGTCTCCCAGGCACAGCAGGGGTGTCTCCTGGGCACAACAGGAGTGTCTCAGGCCCTAGATCACCCCCAGCTCCAGCAGGGAGGACAGTGCGGCCGCTGTTTGCCACCCAAAGCTGGAGCAACTCAGACTGCAAATGCAGTGCCCACTTTTTGCAGCGTGAAAAATGAACTGCTCAGATGAGCCCGCCATGGATGGCCGAGGCTTTTCCCCCAGCTTCTGCCAATCGAGGCATTCTCAAAGACGGATTCATGGAAGAAGTCTAGGGCCTCATCTTTTATGTATGTGTCAGCCTCCATTTTMATGTCCCCCTTCAGAGAGTCTATTTATACTGCACTACTGGCATGCATCTTATTTTCTTGGTTGGTCTACAATTTTATATACGTATATTTATACTTAAAGTATTTCCTGTTTTGTGCAGAGCGACTGGAGACTGCCAATAGGCAGCTAGCCAGCAGGGAGTTTGATGGGCATGAAGATAAGTCAACAGAGGGCCTTTATGTCACTCAGAGTAAGTACTGCATTCATCTGTTTTGAAAACACACATATATATCTATATGTATATACACAATATAGATATGTACTGGAATGGAGGTGAACATTTTACTGTATTTTTTATTTTCCTTATGGCTTGGTTTTGCTCAGCTAATTCATCATATACTCTTATTTAAGCTACAGACTGGATTGTTTAGACTGTATTTCTGTRAGCACCAGAATCTGGCATTGGGAGTTTTTGGTAACACAGCTTAGCTTATTTTTGATAAATATTTATTGGAATTGTGAAGTGTTGCTCGCAGGGATCATGTCTCGAGATGCCTGCTTTTTAGAGAAGCCAGATACTGCTCCTGTCTGGGAAAAATCCAAAGCAACCTCAATTGGTTTTATTGTCAGTGCTATGGATTGACTAACAGGAAGGAGAGCAGGGTTGGATCCCTCCTTTCCACCAAGAACTGAAGAGACAAAAAATCTCCAGTTTCTGCCACTGTGAAAATACCTATTCCCTTGGAGTTTGAGGCTCCCATAATGACAGTGCACAGTGCTGTGGTGTGTCCCTGTCATACGGTGATGGCTCCACATGACCAGCCAGCCTAAACCCAGTGGCCTGATGCCGTCTYACAGGGCATATACCCTGCTCACATATCCTGAGCATCTGCAGCTCACAAGGACACATCCCCCAAAGCCTGACCACGCAGGACCTGCAGCAGCTTGCAGGTTCAAAGCCCACTGAAGCAAATACACTGTGCAGAATCGATCCTTCTGCTTTATTTGCTGCATCAAGAGCTTCTCTGGAAGCCAAGCTACAACTCCAAACAGGGGGTCAGAGATCTCTCTGCCTCTGTGAGCAGTGCAGTGTGTAACAACACTCTGCACACCTGCCCACTGGCAGAGTGTGACCATGCTCTGTGCATCTGTGGTGAGTATCTGGCAGTAAAGCTCTATACTGTGCTCTCAGCATATTACTGCTATCACTTTGCAGCTCGTGAACAAATATAGCTTTCAGGATCGTATCACATAAGAGGGGCTGGATGCTTGGAGTGTCTCTCTGTCTAGGCCAGAGAGCTAAATGTTACTGATGTGTTGTGAAGTGTGTCTAAGAATAGAAAAAGTGGGCCYGTATATAGGCCCTCTTTAGTCGTGTTTCTTGGCTGCTTTGCCACACAGAATGACTAGTCTGATATTAGAGTATCAGTCAAACACTCACCTCTGAAAGTCCCTTAGGATTTCTCTTGGAAGTCCTCCAGCAGTCCAGGAATCATCTGACTGACCACAATTATATGCTGATGTTTGTGATGATTTTCCGGGGGGGAACAGAGCATGATATGAGCTGCACTCCCTGCCAACCTGCTCACTCATCCCGTGCCCTCTCCTGCATCCTGTGGCAGGAGGCTCAGACAGAAAAGGGAAAGAAGAYGGGGGGCTCAGGCYCAGCCTTATTGCACTCAGCACAGCTTGTGTTTCCTCTGGCCGYGGGTGTCCTTGTCTGTTGAGACTGAAATAGTTGTTTCTAGAAAAGAAGGAAAGGTGCCCACATGTGCTCCCACTGCCTCTTGCAATTTTGTGTCCCCCTCCCTTTTTTTCTGAAAGGTAGGGGGTTATTTTCAGATCAGCAAATGCAAATCTTATAGCTTTGGTTAGGAAAAGTGATGTTTTAGTCCCTAAGTTTATGGAAAACAGCCTGAAAACTCAGCTGTTAAAGCTCAAGAGCCAAAAGTTATGTAAAAAGAATCAAGCATTGGCAACTCTGTAAATGTTATCATTTTTAAGTCAGTCTCATGATTCCACAAGAAGATGAAGAAGGATAAAATYCCTTGGGTATTTTTTAATACTTGCCCTTGGTAAAACTGAAAACATGGGATTAATATTGCAGTATCACTCCAGTAACAGGAAAAACTCCCTGCAAGAAGCCTTGCAAGGCAGTGGGTGCTGGGCTCATTCAAGGCCTCTCCCTTCTGAAGGATCACCCATTAGCTGTGTAGCAGCACAGAGAGGTCGTGTGCTCTGAGAAGGAGGCTGGAGGTGACAAAACCTCTTGTTCTTTGTAATAATGATAGGCAAAGCAGGCTGCATGCCTCAAAGTATTAAGTGCTGGGCATTTGGACGTAATGAAAAATGCTGCTATTKTATTGGGTGCAGTAGAGAACTCACATGCTGTAGTTTCAAGAGAATTATGTAATGATTTGTCAATGGAAAAGGTTATTTTGAAGCAAGGCATGAAACTGTGAGTGATTAAGACATATAGGCCATCCAAGAAACAGTACGGTGTAGAAAAATGTGTTTGCTCTGCATGCCCCAGCCCTCAGGAAGGGAGAGCAGTGGGAAATCCATTTTCAGTTTTCAGCACATGGAGGTCGAATTCTCCTCTGACTTGTATTTTGTGAAATGGCAATGGAAGTGCCTTAAGCTGTAAATCAGAACAAGACGCGTTTAAGCTGCTGCTGATACTTGCAGGGGGTGAAGAAACCTGTAAGCACCAACAAAGATTTGGTGCCTTCATCTATATGATCCCTTCTGATGAAGGAAGGGAAAGCATCAAGCCGAAGGAATCCCTGCGTAGGTCGGCAGGGTATTCATTCAGCCAGGAGATTACCCTCTCACTTGTTCCAAAAATAATTGATAGCCAGGTTGTGCTCATTTGTGATCACTGGATTTGCTGCATGTGGTCAGTGCACAATTTGACCACAAGATCTGCCATTAAAGCAGCGGTAACTAGTGCCCTGACYGGCTTTCCTTGGATCTGATTAGTTCTGGTTCTCACTGGTGGCAGTTGATAATTCTGAAGGTAAAAGGTACCTTGAACAGGTACAAGGCTTAGTAGCTGCCTAAAAGATTTGGGATTAAATATGCTGCTGTTTGAGCTAGTACCTGTTGAGAAATGCAGAAATGCCCGTCTTATTTGCAAGCACTGTCTTCTAATATTTAAGTACATTAAAAATCATCACATTTGTTGATTCCATCGTGGAATTCTTGTTAATGACCATCAAGAAAAAGTGAAACAGGGCCCTTATCTTTGCAGACCATGAAGTCCTTCAGTCTCTCAGCCTTTCCTCAAGCCTTGACGAGGCAGGAACTCCAAAGAGCAAAGTGTGTCAGGAAGATGCTATTGGTAACTGAAGCTGCAGGAGGGACGTGGGGTGGGAAACTCTCTTGAGTTCTGCTGGCGCTTGGCCAGCACACAGGGTTAAAGCAGCTGCTCCTTGGGAAATGTGCTGCAGGGAGACCTGCAGGATGTGGTTTTCTGGGAAGTGGAAGCGGTGGCTGTGCGTGGAGCGTGCAGCCACATTCCTTATGYGGACACAGCAGGAATTACTCTTGGCAGAGGTGGCCAGGAATGAATGTGAATAAAGCAGAATCCTCCCCATCCTGGAAGCTGGAATGCGCTGAAAAGAAACAGAGCTCCCACGCTCTGAGGTTTTATTGCTGCTCTTCCAGAAATGAGCCCTCTTCTGAATGTGGTCCTTTGTTCAGCGCGACCTCTCAAGGTGGGCACCTTTTGTGGACTTGGCCTGACAAACCTTGGATGCCCATTGGAATCCTCCATTTTTATTTTTTGGGCAGTGAGGGCAAAAAGAAATGCCTGATTCCCCAGTTTCTCCCTCAGGCTGCCTACCCRAGTCTTCATGCAGTGTCTGCGCACAGCAGTGCAGCTGGGTTTGGGCCAGGGGGTCTTCACTTTGCTGTGGACCATGGTCCAGCTCTCTGGAGGGAAGCTCCTGTCTCAGGACACAGCAACTTCGTCCTGTTTAAGGGGTGAAGAATCTACTAAAAACCTAATTCTGGGAGGTGGAGTTGAATGAATGGGATCTGTTTGTTCAGGTGTTTCATGGAGTGGGAAATGGTTGTTGAAAGGTCTTCAGAGGAGGCAAAAAGACCCTGTTGCATATCGGATTTTGCCTGTCCTTCCRTATTTACCTGTCAGCCTCTTACATTGTGGATGATACCACATGCCTTGAGGGTCCATCTCGCTCTTCAGCCCAGTGACCTGTCACCCCAACAGCATTTGAAGGTTGGGCCCCTGGAGCTGGCCGAGTCACGGCTGGAGCTGAATGAGCAGAAGAGGCAGCTCTTGTTCCCAACACCCATCCTGGTGAACAAACTACCCCAGAGCGGGCCAGCAACAGCTGTGCCTGTAGAAGGCCAAGGCAGAGCCCACGTGCACACTTGCTCCTCAGGAGTTGCAAGGCTCTCGAGAGGCTAAATACGTCCCACAGTTTTTACTTAAGAAAGGCAGGGTCACTGGAGAGCCTCTTTGGAATTAACAGCTGTGAGGAAGGGGCCATAATCTAGAAATATGAACCTGCATAAGAGAAATAGTTGGAAACCCCACCAGGAACGTGGTAGGAAAGTGATTCTTGCCTCAGAAGAACTTTCTGGAGCCAAGTTCTGCCCTCGTTGCCACCGTTTGATGTCATTTTGTTCTGCTAACAGTGATCACTGTAGGGATCAGGATGCCCTTAAAGGATGTCAGTGTTGCCACTCCCTGGTAGCCCTTCAAGGAGAAAATTTAGGATGCATTGGTATGGTCCATAAGTTAGTCAACTAAGTTGATACTTAGGTATAATGTAGTTATAGGGGGCTCTGAGGACATGCTGATACAGGGAACACTAATAAAAATATTTCTCATTTTTCTTCCAACATTGATCTGATCAAAAGCTTTCATTAAGCATGTGATCCATGTGAAAAACGGATTGTATCTGGTGGCAGGGAAGGGGTGGCATGGTTTCAATGCATCTTTCTGTATAATGTTTCTGCTTCATAGCYGGGTTGAGTCTGGTCTATTTATTTTTGGTGGAACTAACTATTTGACAGGTCAGAATGCTTAGTTGGGAAGTGCCTTACCAGCCTCTTTGCTCTGTCTGTCTCCTCTTTATTTTACCCACAGACACAGCATCTAGGTGTAACGCTCTCAATGTACTAAAATACAACAACCAGAGGTGGAAAGCTGCAAGGTTACATCTATAAGCAGCAGAAGAGAAGCCTTTTGGGAACAATTCCTTCATGGGATGCAGTAACTGACCCATGAGAACAACAGAAATATTTGTTAGCTGGAGATTATTAGCTAATAAACCTAATAGTCTAGATAGCACGGGTAAAAGGAACTTCCTTCATAAAGGATAGGCCAGATGTAGCAGAGTAAGACAGTATTTTTAGACTTTAGACATAAAGGTATTCAGTGTTATGGGCTTGAAGAGCCCAGAACAGATGGTCTATTTAACAAAGTCCTTTACTAAAAATTAATGCAATTCAGGAGGTACCCCCAGCATTTTCCAATGAAAAGCTGGTGTGGGAAAGTGTTGCAGGCTGTTAGGTAAATTATTCTTACCAGCTTTTCAGTGGATTTCAGCAGTCATTCAGTGAATGGCATAACCTCACCTGTCTTTTTAGGAGGGGATAAAAACATAACACAGGCAGGCAAGCAGAGTGCTTTGAGTGCTGCTGGTGAGAGGTGGAAGGGAAGCTCGCAGGTCCTGCTTTTGAAGACACTGTCCTCATATACTAGAGGTTTTATATCCCGAGTGCAGCAAGGGTGCAGCAAGGGTGGTCCCAGCACAGGACAGTTGGATGCCACAGCACTGAAATAGCAATCATCTTTCAGCTCCCTCGCCCTCTAATGAAATTAGCTGCTTGATAATTTGTCTGGATTTACACTTTTCTGCAATGCATATTAACACCTCTGCTCGTGAGTCTGAAGCAAATGTATCTGTTTTGAAGGAAGAAGCTTGCATATCCGATTTAAAATTCCTTGCCAGTGTGGGACAGTTCAGGTCATGTCATATTCAGGTGGCAGTTAACTGCATGGAAAGCACAGGGATTGGTATGTTTGGCTTGTGCAGGGTTGATGATGGGGTCTGGGCTTTTTTTTTGAGAAATGCTGAGTTTTTCCTTTTAGAATTAACCTAAAGAGGAACGGATTTGGCCTCACTTTGTCGACATGCGTCTTGTTCCACAACTCATCATGTATTCACTCAGAATGACAGGATGGTTGAGGTTGGAAGGGACCTCTACAGATCACCTAGTCCAACCCCCCTGCTCCAGCAGGGACACCCAGAGCACGGGGCACAGGGCAGCAGCCAGGCGGGTTTGGAAGGTCTGCAGAGAAGGAGACTCCACAGCCTCCCTGGGCAGCCTGTTCCAGGGCTCTGGCACCCTCACAGGAAAGAAGCTCTTCCTCACATGGAGATGGAACTGCCTGTGCTTCAACTTATACCCATTGCCCCTTGTCCTGTCACTGGCCACCACTGAGAAGAATTTGGCCTTGTCCTCCCTACATGTTCTTGCAAATGCAAGAGGCCTTTTTACTTCGTTGTAGTCAGACGCTGCTCTTCACTGACCATAAGCTGGCCCATGGATTCCTGTGCCACAGATTCTCCCACATGAAGGAGCCAGACATCTTTTCCCTTGCGTCCTGCTCAGCACAAGGTTTTGTGCAGCCCCTGGCACATGAGGGTCATTGTCACCCTATCTTGCTCTCTGTTACTGCATTCACTTTCGTTGATGGTTAACCCATGTAGCACAGATTTATGTCTATTCTTTGACTACTTCACATGTTTTGCACCCCGTGATCACCAGAGACACCCCTATCCTTGCAAATAATATGGACTGAGCATGGTACTGCCTACATCTGCATGGCCAAGATTTCTTGTCCCTTATAGCAGGATAGCAGCACCCAAATTAACAGCTATAAACAGTCCTTGTTCTTTACAGCCCTCAAGGAGAGTCTGAGCATTGTCTGAGAAAGGGGAGGTTGCCACAAACCAAAATTTTGCTGAGGATTGTGCTAGAAGTTCAGCAGTAGACACGATTGTAAGACAGCACTTGGATGCACAAACCGTGCTCGGACCTCTTGAGGTACCACTTGTCTCTACCATTGGCCTTCATGTAGAGCTGAGCAAGCAGAAGGCAAGTTCTGGCAGTAGAAACTCCTTACCTGTTGCARCTGAGCACTGCTGGGTCCCACGTGCTGTGTTAATGGCCATGCTCACCGCTCCTTTGTACAGTTTTTGCTGTTGTAGGAAGGTGCCAGCTTGTGGCCCACAGCCTGTGAGCTGTTCTCATAGAGCAGCTCTTGTTCTTGCCTTTCTTCCAGACAAAGAGCAMTTGAAGGAAAAGGAGAAGCTGGAGATGGAGTTGGCAGCCATGCGCTCTGCCAATGAGGACCAGCGGAGACACATTGAAATCCTGGACCAGGCTCTAAGCAACGCCCAAGCCAAGGTCATCAAGCTGGAAGAGGAGGTGAGACATGGGTATCATCCCTCTGCTCGCAGGCAAATGATGACTCTCTCCACCTAGGTCTTGAATCTCTTCCAGGCACAGTGTAGCAGGTCCCTCCTGCTCCCCTCGCAGAGGCCCTGCCACACACAAAACACTTAGTTACTCAGTTCTGAGCCAAACAGGCAAGGGAAAGAGCCCACAAGAATGGGTATTTTCCAAGCAGATCCTTTGATAYGTAAGCAGGAAGATGACCAAACTGTGCTAGCTGATGACCAAGGGCTTAGCAACACTAGCAAAGAAAGAGCTGCCTGCTCACTGGCCCTGSACAGCTACTGCAGTAACAGCATGTGATACTGATACCCCTCATTTGTTGTCAGCTAATGCCAGGAGGCTTTTGAGATGCATGTAGTGCAATAATGCAGGGCTTGGTAGATGCATCTAACCAGAGGTCTTAAAAGAATTGACCTGCCTGAAGGTAAATGTTTTGGGATTTGAAGCCCTAATAGCTGCAGTGTTTATTTGACAGTTAAAAAAAAAACTATCTTACCATAAGACCTAAGAAATGCCATCTATGCAAAACCCTAAGAATTCTATAAGCAACAATCTTGTGAGTCTGATCAAGGAAATTAAGTGTTCAGGTGGGGAAATGCCAGGCAGAGATGGCTCTTCAAACTAGCAGACAAATAACCAACAGCATCTAGTAGCTGAAATCTGAGGATAGGCAAATTCAAAATGGAAATATTGCTCAGTTTTTAAATGTAAGTATAACTAGAGACTACTGGGTGATTCTCCATTACTGGAATTCTCTAAATGTTAGGGACCTTCAGGCACAAAGTGTAGGTTTAGTGCAGAAATGATTGAAAATCTCTGCACCTTGAATGATCAGTCAAGGCCTTTTTGTTCCTAAAGTGTCTCATCCTATGACCAACAGAAATAATTTTTATGCAAATATATAAGAATGTAAATGTGGTCTGAGCAGGCGGGCCACTGGTGAGGGTAAGGAGACTCAGCAAGAGGACTTGGGTGAAGGTTGGGGACGAATCCCAGGGGACGAATCCACAAGAGCCAGGTGGGAGCAGGGTCTTCTGATGCCAGGGCTCTAGGGAGTAGCCCTTGAAGCTCTTWTCTGAAACACTTGCAAGTAACCAAGTAAAGCTCCTTGTCTCACTCTGTCTTGGAAAGGGGAGGAGTGAAGTGACCTCGGTGATAGCTGAATGGGTTTTATCAGAGTATCTGTCATGACAGGCTCCAGTTAGGCTACTCAGTGGTTACTAGAAGCCTGGGCAATTTAAGGTACTATATGAAAGGGCTGGAAGGATTAGTTTTGTGCCTCCCATTAGACAATTTTGACTTTGTGACTGKAAATACTTCTGTAAAAACTTCTTAGTCCCTGTTGTACATGGCACTCAGCAGCAAGAAGGGAATCACATGGAGTGTAGCTGCTGCTCTGGTGGCTAGCGCACATCCGAGAGTGCCTAAGGCAGTCCCTGTGGGGTAGCCACAGGAGCTAACCTCCTTTTAATCTCAACATTATTGACTTGATACTGTTTGCCTTAAAGGCAACCCGAGGTTTTCTGTTTGCATTTCATTACAAGGTGGCTGGCTAAAGGAATGTTTCAGGTGGCAAAACCTGCTCCTGCAGTCACAAAATCAGGCTGGGGACAGAGGAGCGGGCGCAGCTCCCGGCTGCCCCACGGACRGGGCCTGTGGGTTTCCAGGCAGGGGGTGGCAGCAGCTCTCCCTGCCCGCTGAGCTGGGAAGGCTCCTGCAGCCCTAGGGCTCTGTCTCCCGCTCRCTGGCTCCCAAGTTTCCAGTCGGTGTCGGGTAAGCCCAGGTGAAAGCACCGTAGGCAGGGCTGGGATCCGTGGCTGTGGAGCAGCTGGGGGACAGGCTGATGTTCAGCCACCATCTCTGCTCGAGGGCTCATGACCTCCTGCCCAGGGCACCTGGGCTGTTTCAGAGGTGGCAGCCTGCTGCCCGGGGCTTAGTAGGGCTCAGAGTTAACAGCGTGTGAAGGCAGCACAAATGCACTTGCTCAGCCTGAGCAAACCCAAATGAACCTGGTAACTTCTCAGTCGAGAGSGAGGTGAATTTTCCCCCAACTCTTGCAGTTTAAGGGTTTATCAAAGGATCATGCAGCTTAAGCAGTGCCTAAGCCGCGACCGCCTGCGTGTGTCCAAGCTCTGCTGCTCCCCGTCCCTTTGACCCGTTTCGTGTTGCTGAACTGGAGCACCGTTTGCACGGTGCACAACAGGCCTGTGGCTTTTGCAGCTCAGTTTGACTCGTTGGAATTCTGATCCGTCATCTTAAATCAGAGATTCTTACTATAATTGGAATATATTGAAGTGAAAAGGAAAAAAAAAGCACTCAAATGAAAAATTTTATTGCTGTTAACAGAGTTCGATGTCAGACATAGCTTCGCAAATCCCCACGGATTTCTTCTACCAACAGAATATAATTAAGTTTAAATGCTTTCTAAAGCAAGACTGGAGAAATAAGCTATAGTTATTAAGTCGAATTAACAAAAATACCATACTATGTAAATCTGCATTATCCTGAGTGCCTGCTAGTGGAAGGATATAATTCAAAAATATGTGGGTGTCATTATCACCACATGTCATTGAGGAGCCTGCTACYGGAGGAGCGGGTCTCATGCACACTTCAAATAGAAAATGGAATAATTGGAGAGGGTTCAGGAAACAGCTGTGCAGTGTATTCCAGCTCCAGAAGATSCTCTCTGCTGAGAGCAATTGAAGTTAAGCAATGCCTGAGCTGCTGTCCACACGCACATGAGGAAGGGACACGCTGTCAGTCACATTAAAAATTGCTCTTTAATCTAACAGAASACATAAATGAAATGCAGTGTTTGGGAGCTAAGGCTAAGCAAACCAAGCCAGAATTCAAGCACACAAATAATTAACACTGGGACAACCTACTTAGAGTTGCAAAGAATTCTCCGTGTTTTACAGCCTTTAAGCCAATTCCACAGATTTTTGGAATAGATATGCTGTAACTCCAACAGGAATTAATGTACTCAGTGCTGMTATTTTACTGTAACACCCACTGGTCTTTACAAATGTATTTACTTGGTGAGGAGCAGTACTAGACTGGCCTTGTTATAGCCCTAGCTCTTCTTCATCTTTATTTTCATAATCTGTGTGACAAGGGCAACGTTTAGGCAAGTTTGCTTATCCTGTGCATATGTGAATTCTTTCATTAAATGCTTCTTACTCTAGCAAATCACGCTTTGGAAACARAACAAGAAGTAATTTGCTTAAATTGCATAAGAGAGCGACAGACTAGGTATTAGGGTAAAACTTTTCTGGCAGTAGAAGAAAATAAGCAGCAAAGTAGGTTGTGGAATCCCTGCCCCTGCGGGTGTGCAAACAAGCAGCTTGTACAGACACCTTCCCCATGGCAGGTAGGTCAATCASTCCGTGCAGCAGGAAGATGGACTAGTCCCTTGCAGCCACTCTGCTGGCCCTGGCTGTGGAGCTGGGTTCAGGGCAAGCCCTCTTTGCTGTGTGCTGTAAACAAGCCTGTGTTTCACTCCTCCAGTGACACGGGTGGACTTAGAATGGCAGAAGAATCAAGGAAAGTGATGTTGTTATCATCATTGTCATGGGTGGGTAGGTACCTAGATGCATCTGGTACCCCACAGAGAAAATTCCTTGCAACCCGAGGCCCAGCCTGAGCAGAGCATCCTGGTGAAGAGGAGGCTGCTTACGTTGCCCCACTGCTTATGTAGCCCCCCTGCTTATGTTGCCCCATTGCTTACATTGTCCCACTGCATCCATGAAACAATTGCTATTATTTCAGTAACAATTTAGRTACTTAGACAAGGGATAGACAGCAGAATATCTTCTTGTCTCTGGTTTAGCCAGTTCCTAATAGATACCCAGGCAGGCTCTTCTATTGATCAAGTAATTGACTAACATTGACTGAGGTTAATGTGATTKTTTTGTCTCTTGTTTTGCTTGCACAAGTAAATGAGGAACAGGAGAATAAAAGTCCAATAAAGGCAGTACCTTATTGGTCCTGGCAATGACCTGAACACCTCCATTAACCTCTCTGCTCTGGAGGTCAGAACGGAGCTTGGCAGAATGTCCTTGCTGGGGCAGGGGTTTAAGGCAGGAGTCAGTCTGCCCTTTGGGGGCTGCAGCTTTGGTTTCTTTGCACTGAAGCTTTCTCTACCCCAAGGCAGATGTCTTTAGAAAGGTGTTCATGCTCGTGAAAAATAGCTATAAAAGGCTGGGGGTCCGGCCGGCACAGCCCAGCCCGTGAGGCTCGGCTCCGCAGCCCTGGGCGCTCCCGGGAAGGCGACTGGGCCCCGCTCTGTCCTGGCTGCCCCGGCACCGCTCCCACGGTGTGCAGGTTGCTCCCGGGAGCAGAGCCCTCCCAGGTGCCAGGTCCTGCAGGGTGCAGGTTGCTCCCGGGAGCAGAGCCCCCCTGGGTCCCCGCAGCCTGGGAGCAGCTCTGGGAGGTGGCTCTGGCACCCTCTCCGTGCCCAGCACATGTGGCTCTGAGCATGTCCAGCAGCAGCAGCAGCTCCCCAGAGGCCCTGAGCCCCTCAGCTCCTGCCGGGACCCCAGTCGCCTTCCCTGCATGTGTCARTTGGCATTCAGTTAGTGTGGGAGGAGGCCAGAGGAATAAATGCCAGAAAACAGCAGCCAAGCACCCCCAGTGCCTGCAGGGCACTTGAGAGGGCCTTTTAGGGCCAGCTGCTTGAGCAACCTCTGTCCAAAAAACTCATATTGCAAAACCCTTGTGTAACATCTGGCCCTTAGCTAGTCCCAATTTGCACGTAGAAAGACCTGGCTTTAGCTGACAGCAAATCTGTTCATCTGTATGGCAGGGCAGTGGGCGAGGAGGCACAGCAGCCCTGGCACTGCCTGCTCACCCCCAGCAGGTAYCTCCTGTCTTTGGGGCTCTCCCTTCTCCTTCAGGAGACATCGGGTCGAGCAGATAAGCAGGGTTTAAAAAAGAAGCTCCATGTGGTGCCGCAGGCCACTGATGCCACCAGGATTCCTCCTTGCTGAGCTCAGCCACCCATGTGTGCTCAAAGAGTGTCCATACTCAYACTCATACTCACATTCACACTCATGTTCACCCACACAACAGCTCTTGCTACGAAGGCGYCAGGCGGCTCTTGGGAGGGTTAATCCCCACGCTGCTAAAGATCCCGTCCCGCGTCCTTGGCCCTGAATGCGGGGGAGCCGAGGGAGGCACCCGCTGCGTGGGGCGGCCAGCGCGCGCTCTGCTGCTCGCTGACACCCCGTGTCACCCGCCTGCTGACACCCCGTGTCACCCGCCTGCTGACACCCCGTGTCACCCGCCCGTTGACACCCCATGTCACCCGCCTGCTGACACCCCGTGTCACCCGCCCATTGACACCCCGTGTCACCCGCCCGCTGACACCCCGTGTCACCCGCTCACTGACACCCCGTGTCACCCGCCTGCTGATGCCCCGTGTCACCCGCCTGCTGACACCCCGTGTCACCCGCCTGCTGACGCCCCGTGTCACCCGCTCGCTGACACCCCGTGTCACCCGCCTGCTGACGCCCCGTGTCCCACAGCTGCGCAGGAAGCAGGCCTACGTGGAGAAGGTGGAGAAGCTGCAGCAGGCGCTGACGCAGCTGCAGGCGGCGTGCGAGAAGCGGGAGCAGATGGAGCGGCGGCTGCGCACGCGGCTCGAGCGGGAGCTGGACGCGCTGAGGATGCAGCAGGTGAGAGCCACGGGGCTGCTGCTGGGAGCTCACGGCTGGGGTCACCTCGCTCCAAAGCCAAGTTGAGGGGGTTTTCAAGCAATCCTTGCGTTTTAATTCCTGATTTTTTCTTGGCTGTACCGAGGGCTCCAGGGCTGGGCCAGGGGTTGGGGCTTCACTTCCAAAGGCCAAGGAGAGCCTTGTTCCTGGTCCATCCCTGGAATACAGGCAATATCCTTCCCCTTCTCTCTCCAGAAAGTGCATGTTGTGCAGCAGCATCTCAGTATTGCATGAGGAAGGTTGTGGTACCCTTGGGTAGGGGATTTGGCTGTTGCCAGCTGTTCTTTTATTGAAAAGGCCAAGTCTGATGAAATCTGATGAGGAGGAACACAGAACTCGAGCAATATTCGTCCTGGACGCAGATGATCTTTGAAGTGGTTCACAGAAACCTTTGCCCATGATTGGTCTGGAGACAAATGGGACTGTCATCTTCAGACAAGAAATTATCTAAATCTGAATCCAGACCAGAATAGGCTAGAGGAGTAGGTATGCATTTCTGTCTAGGTCTCCTTGATTTTTTTGCAGCCCAATGTCCTCAGAGACATATTTTTATGCTCATATTTTATGTACACTCATATCTTTGAGAGAAAACTGCGTCTCTCACAGTCTCCATCCCCAAGAACTGAAGTCAGGTYATCAGTGAAAAGGAAAAAAAAATGAGGAGGCTACAGAGAGGATCCCAGTTTTAGCCAGCACTGAGTGCTGAACACAAGGGAACTGTCTCCAGAGGTGAGCAAACAGATGCACTAGATGAAACTACCACTTGGGGAAAAACAACATAAGCAAGGCCTGCTGTAACTTAGGAAGGGCTCACTCATATCTCTGTCAAGAAGTGCATCTGCTTCAATAATTTTCCTTGGTTACATGCAGCATAGCACTTCCTGCTTGTCTTGTCCACCATGGCCTTGGAAGACAGGTATTTCTGTCTCCTTCCAATAACTGTTCTCCATTCAGAGAATCACAGAATCATGGGATGGTTGAGGTTGGAAGAGACCTCTAGAGATCATCTAGTCCAACCCCCCTGCTCCAGCAGGGACACCCAGAGCACAGGGCACAGGGTGGCAGCCAGGCGGGTTTGGAAGATCTCCAGGGAAGGAGACTCCACAACCTCCCTGGGCAGCCTGTTCCCGGGCTCTGGCACCCTCACAGCAAAGAAGTTCCTCCTCACATGGAGATGGAGCTGCCTGTGTTTCAACTTACACTCCTTGCCCCTTGTCCTATCACTGGCCACAGGACAGAGTTTGGCTTGTTACCTGTCACTGTTACCAATGAAAGAATATTCAAGAAAAATACAGTTAAAATTAAGTGATGATATAGAGCTAAAAAAGCTTTTGTTTTCTGGGCTGCGATACAGGGCAAACTGATGCATTGAGTAACTGGGATGGACTGTCACGTAAGTCCCTGTCTTGGGAGTTCAGAGAATGTCTGCTCATTTTGCCAGAAAATTCCTTGCTAACTTACAGATTGCTTAATTTTTTTTTGGAACTGTAATTAGCAACTGTATTTTAGGTTGCCATAGTTCCCAACTGTTGTACCAGTTTTATTTAGGAAGGGTTATGAAGAAAAATACTTTGACCTCATGTCTCATCTATCTGCTGTGAGAGGAGCGAATTGCTGATCAAGTTCCCCCTCCAGATCCCCTCTGCCCTGCCGCTGATGTGGGAGCTGGSGGAAGGAAAGGATCCTCCTGACTTGTGCCTTTCAGGTTGGATGTGCAGGGAAGGCAGATGCTTTGATGGGAATTAAGAGGACAGGCACCCCTGGTGTCCCAGGATGCCCTTTTAAGAGCAGCTTTCCAAGCATTATCATCCTGCCAGGGATTTGACAGTATTTGAAGTGCAATTGAGGAGTGGAGCAGTTGCTCCGAAGGTCTATTCCATATCAGACTGTTCCAGCAAATATTTTCCAAACGCATCAGTACCCACCAAAGCCAAACTCTGAAATCCTTTCTCGGTTTCCATAGCTTTTTGGAGCCAGAAGATGAGCATCTCAAAGGAGTAGCTGGGAATGTGCTCCGGAGCGGGGCAGGGGCCTGTGAGAGCTGTAGCCCTGGGTGCTGATGCTGGGTCAGCCCTGGCCTTTGATGGTTGTGGTGCAGAGCAGCCCAAAAACACCTGCTCCCACACGTGGCTTCCCCCTARCACAGCCCAGCGGGTACCCTGCAGAGGGTAACAAATCTCCTGAACCTTTTATCATAAGAAAACATTTACCTCTGTGGACTTCTCYGTGGTATTTTGGCAGCTTCTGTTTAAATTAACCTTCTCCTTTGGGCTTTAGCTGGGTTATGTCCCTTTTTCTTCTGCTTTCTTATCTAAATCCTCTGGTAGGGGCTACCTGTCTGAAGGGAGCGTGGCCCAGCCATCCAAACCCCCAAATCCATACGGCCCCTTGCATCTGCCTGCACATTCCCTGTGTCCCATGAGGTGTGTGCTGGCTGCTGCCGGCCTCTGGCAAGGCAGGGCCACCCTCGAGGTGGTAGCACCGTGTCCCAGCCCAGGGCTGCCCATTCCTCCTCCCGGGGCTGCGCAGCCCTTCCCTGACCAGCTCCTCTTGCCTTGCTGGGACACACGGTTACACTGGCCCTTCCTTTCCAAACGAGAACGGCAGATCTGGCAGGACTGGAAATTTTTGACCAGACTCACGKATGTTTCCCATCCATTTACAGCATCAGCCTCTTTTTGAAGCGAGGGTCTGGGTGTCGTGGTGCTGCTGAGGAGCTGGGGACCGCAAACCAAGAACCATTTAACATCTCCRTGGTTGTAGCTTCCAGCTCCGCGGTTCAGAAATTCCCTGCTGGACAAGGAGCCCTGTTTAAGCTCTGAGCCTYGGGCTGACGCTCTAACAGGGGATCTCTTTGTGTGCTCCAGAGAAGACATGGAAAAAAAAATCCAGCAACTCCTGCAGTTGGCAGGGGGTGAATGTCTGTCCCTGTTTCCATCCTGCAGAGGCAGGGCAGCTACCAGGCGGCCAGCATCCCCGAGCACAACGCGCCGGCCCTCATGGAGCTGGTGCGGGAGAAGGAGGAGAGGATTCTGGCGCTGGAAGCAGACATGACCAAGTGGGAGCAGAAGTACCTGGAGGAGAGCACGATCCGGCACTTTGCCATGAACGCTGCAGCCACCGAGAGGTAACGGGGCCCTCCTGCGGGCAGGCGGAGGGAGCAGGGGGCACAGTAAGGAACGGGTATTTTCCTGTGGCGGGGTCCTGCTTGCCTTCCCCTGCTGAGGAGCTCCACCACGTTAATTCACCACTCACTAAAGCCATCAAAATTCAATAGCTAGCACAGGATTTGCTCTCCTGAGCCAGCTCCAAAAGTTTAGCAAACCCAAGTGTCAGACTCCAGCAGTGGCCTCCACAGTAAATCTTGAACATACCAGACAACTTATCACAGCTAAGCTATCTCCTCACCACAGCATTAAGGGAACAAGGAGGAACACATGTTGGTTCACAGCTGGATTCAACTCAGCTTACTATGGAGTCCCAGAGCTGTGCTATTCCCAGGAAATGCTCCAGCCTCAATGTGGACACAGCTTTCCAAGGCACAGACCACCTGCAAGTCCCCATGACTGCAGCTAACCTCAACCTACGGATCTTTCCTATCCATAACCTCCTTTGCCACCAGTAGTTCAAGTCTTTGTCACTGCTGGACAAAGTGGTTGGAATCAGAGTCTAAAGCACCACTTAAAAGAGGCTTTTGCTTTTTAAAAATCCCCCCATATATGAATTTGRCTTTATACAAAAATAAAATCAAATAAACACAAAACTGTGATTTGAGAACTCTGGTACAGGTATCCCTCTATCCCTAGAGATATGTAGGGATAGATAGTCAAGGATGGAAGATGTGGAAGATAGTCAAGGATGTGTCAAGGAAGACAGTATTTTGTTATGAGGGCCAAGAATTAAACCTACTTCAAACACAGCAGTGCAGAAAAGTGGACAGCTTTCCACAGTATTTAAGGGAGCCTGAGAACTCTTCTCAGATTGTCTTTCCATTCTTAAATTTGGTGTTTCTCTCAAAACTCTTGGCTGTTCAGTGAAGTGTTTGGGGGTGACTGGTTTGAAGGGTCCACCAGCTTTGCTAGCCCTTCTGCATGCACGGGAAGCTGAAGAAATGACTCATATGAACTCCAAAGGCACACAGAATTAAAGCAAAATTTTGCTTATTCATGAGAAATATGAGTCTGAAACAGCCTCATCTCATCCCTGCTCCTTAGCTGTGGCAGAAAAGTGTACTGAGACCATTACTGGAATGTGTTTATTTAACCTATTTCTAAAAAACTGCAATGACTGAAATTTCATGGTCTCACCAAGTCCCCTGTTTCAGTRCGTCATTAAGCTTCAAATTAAAAGGGTTCTCCTAGTATTGAAACAAATCTCTTTACTGCAGTTTAGATCCATGTATTCATGTCCTTACCAAGTGTACCTGACGAACAACAGAACATTGTCAATGTTACAACAACCCACTGAAATGCTGGAAGTCACATTTCTCTTGTGTCTTCCCTGGCCTGAACTTCCTTACTTCCTCCAGCCATTCCTCATGTCATACTCTGAACCTCTTCCCATTCCTGTTGCTTTAGTCTCAGTTATCTCCAATTTGTCCGTGTCAAAACGTGGTGCCCAAAGGCAGACCAGATATTCCAGCTGTGCTTTCTGGCCCAGAGGAGTGTGGGATCATTAACCTTTTTCTCCAGCTTCCCAGAAACCAAATCCCCTGACTGCATCCTAAAGTGAGACTGGCTTTTTTAAACCTGGTTGAGTGTATGGCTGAGTAAGATCCTTTTCTTTTGCAGTCTAGTCTAGACAGCAATTCCTGTGYTTGTCTCCCTATGTGTACTACTTTGTAGCTACTTTTTTAATTCCCTCATGTTGATTCAAGACCATTTCCCCAGTCACTGAGTGCCCTGGGATTCCCAGCCCTGTCCTTCAGGATGTTTCTTAACCTGCCTGTGGCGACACGCACAGTTTTAGCCCATTCTCTGTTCCACCATCCACGTTATTAATGCAGTTAATGACTGTGTCTGGGCCAGGAACAGATGCCRAATACCCATCTGAGTTGACAGGAGAGAAGTTGTTCTTTGAGTGTGCGTTGGGTGGGTTTGCARCCGCCCGTGCCACCCATGGATGCCAGGGTGTCAGGAGGTGCGGAGAGCCCCACGTTGCCGCRCGGAGCCGCTCAGCCCCTGCCAGGGCTGCCCTGGGCAGCGGGGCTCACCGCGCTCTGCCTCGCTCGCCAGGGACGCGGCGGCCCCGACGCACTCGCGGAGCGGCAGCTACGGCGACGGCGCCTGGCAGGAGGAGGAGGAGGTCGCACAGGCTCAGCGCCGCTGCCAGGACATGGAGCACACGTAGGAGCAGCACCGCGTGGGGCGCGCGCTGGGGCGGGCACGGGCACGGGCGCGCTCGGCTCCACCGAGGGGCCCATCGCTCTGCTTGCTYGGAGTGCACCTCAGGGTGGGCTTCACGAGGGCCCATCGCTCTGCTTGCTCGGAGTGCTCTCCAGGGTGGGCTCCGGTGAGGGGCTCATCGCTCTGTTTGCTCGGAGTGCACCTCAGGGTGGGCTTC